GAGCAGCATTCCTGAACGAAGACGAAATCTCTTTCTTCAAAAAATTGAAATGGTTAACCGCAAGATTTACGGAGAGAGGGGGGAAGAAAAGTCATTCCGGCTAAGCGCACATCAGCAAACTTTTCGTCGCACAGGGTGCCGCCGTTGGTGAAAGTTTTACGGCAGAATATTCCTTAGTGTGTCCCCCCATAAGCAGAAGCAGGCCCTCCTTCGCTGCTTCACCGTCTTCAGAATATGACGTCATCTGCCATCACCGTCGAGCTCAAGGAGGCCTTACCGTAATCGCTCCAGCCTGAAGCTGCTACATAATTTCTTCAATCGGATAACTGGTGAATGAGCTTCTTAGAGACACTAGCTCTGACTATGAAGGTTCCCTTCCAACCAGGATATCAGAGGACGTAGTGGTCCACGATATTTCGAGGACCCCTTTGAGCTCGACCCATGCTTGTGTGGCAAATTCAGTTGATGTCGTCCCTGTAGAAGGCTACTATGAAGTTTATTGATAGTTTATTGAAACGCGCTCTTCAATTTTCAGTTAGAAGCATACAGTTGGATCCAGCAACGTATATGTTAATAGTTGCGCTTTAAATTTATTCAGTTAGACTTCTTGGTCCAGAACTGTGCAATCTTTGCTACAGTTGTAAACACCCTAATAAAACATTTGATGGACTTTTAAGTATTTAGAAGGAGATTGTCTTTTCTTGTCATTTTTATCGTCCCCACTGCGTCCATGAACCCACCGTCCGCATATCCAGCTTCCCACGTATATCCTTTTTGGTCGTCGTCCTCTGTCATGTTCTTCAATTATTCGGATCACCTCACCTAGAAAAAATGGTGTATTTTGCTAAAAATGATTACTAAAAGCTTTAAGCAATCCAACTCGACCGCGACTGGCAAGATAGACATCACAATTGATTGGGAATCATAAATTATGGTGTTCGAGACCAGAATCGATAAAGTTCAAGACTTAATATTCAAGAGCAAAGCCAATGAAAATGTGGGAACTTCGTATCAACTTTTCCCGTTTAAAAAAAGACGTCTCTGCGTGGTGTCTGCACCCGATATTTTTACGCCTGCTTTTTTACAATCGCTTTTCTGATAATCTCGCCGTGCAAGCTGCTTTTCCTATAATTCGTTATCCTACTTTTAATTGGCCTAGTATTCGTTCTTTCATGCCTGGATTCGGTTCTGGTTTTGTATTACGTGATTTTATAGAATCTTCTGAGTTTCAATCTCATTTAGAATGTTGGCCAGGCGCCTCTTGGGATTTGCGTTGAAGGGCAACTTACCGAGTATTTATTCTGCATGTCCTTTATCTTCGAGGTAAGTGTCGTTCACGATGTTTCGATTAATGACTGAATTGGTGATTAATTGGAAAGTTTCTTGCATCACTTCCGGTTTTACTATATACCTTCAAAGATTTGCATCATTTTAAATTTTGCGACTAATTCTTATAAAGAAGAGATAACAATGTCAGATAAATGGTACTAAGTGGCTATTTGAGTTCCTAAAGAAACTTCAAAATGACGAATAGTAATTGTGGGGAAATATTAGCATGTTTTTTCGACTACCAAACGTTCAGCCGTCTTGTGGGCAGAGTCGAGTGGTCTTTGTGCAGTTCAAACGCGGACGCGGGGTCGTAACGGAGGAGGGGAATGGGTCGTTCTTGTGGTTTGGTGAATGAAACTCGTTTGAGATTCCCCAGGACATGAATGTGGCATGAATTGAGGGGTCGAGTGGTGTAGAGGGTTTTCGAACAACTTCAAGAAAAGAGCGTAGAATGGGTAAAATCGCAGCATTTGTTGTTTGGACACATACATGTCCATTTCCCCTCTCTCGACTAAAGACAGATTTTAAAAACAATGGGGTGCATTATTTGGAAGTTATACGATATATCACTTAATATCAAAATGCAACGCTATGCAAACAGTCATTCGGTGGCGGTGAAGTACGGAGATAGGAAGGTCGTATGGTGGATCCTCTGCAGACGTTTGAATGGGGTATTTTGAGCCCTCTTAGGAAGAGTACTGGCTGTGGAAATTCTGCAGTCGGCACTAAAAATGGTGGCCGCAGGACCTTTTATTGCTGTCCAGGAATAAAAAACGTCATCGGTCAGAAAATAACATCTTTCGCATGCTGGTAGTTTCTTTTATAGAAATGGCATACGCTCAATACACTTTATTTTATCTTCTCGTCCTGAAGGCCTTCATTTCTTTCAAAAGAACCGCAACTCTTCGATATAAATAATCACCTGGCGTGCCCGTCGCATAATGCGTTTTCTAGATGGGATTTTCGGAGTCAGTCGCTGCTTGGCCAATGAATCATGTCGCAAAAAAACTTTTGGAGGCATTAAGCGTAAAGTTCTAATACTTTAATTCCGACGGGAAAGCTCTTATTCAAGTGCATTTGAAACTTGATGTTTCCATACTCGATGAAAAGAGTACTTCCCAGTAGGTACATTTTTACAATCCCTTAGTCTGCGGCAGTATAAGAGAGTGGTAATCTTGTAACAGAAAGGTCAATTTGACTTGATGATGTTGTAATCATTGGGACGTCGCCATCGTACACAGTATCCTTTCGCTCATTTTCCTTTGTCTACCTTTGCTTATAAAGTTCTATCGTGTCAGTACTGGTAACGTTTTCAGGCCGGTTCTTAATTTTCGATCAACTTTACGAATGCCGTTATGGTTCAGCTCTACCTCTGCTAACAACGCAGAAAACAGTGAAACTCCGAAATTCTCACTCAAAAAGCAAGATGGACAACGGCTAAGTGGTAAGGTTATACAGCTTTATAGTTTGTACTCATTGGTCTTACCACTCACTAGGCGTGTGCTGTTTTTTGTAGCGAAACCAACAGCTTCTGGTTTCCAGCTTCTGGAATTTTATTGAGATGATTGAAAAAAGGAAGCTGCCAAGGATGGGACTGAAGATTTCGCAATTCCAAAAGAAGCATTCGAAACTTTGTTAACTGAGTACGATGCTCTGGTCGCGGAAGGTTCAGAGTGGCAGGGTGCTTCACTAATCAAAGTATTATGTCGTCGTATTTACTCATGTTGATTATCTTGTATCGTTCGCTCTTTTTTTGGAAATTTTGGTAATTGATTGTAAAAAAATGCTTTTTTTTTGTGTTTAAGATAAACTCTTCTCATGAATTCATGTCAATCGTTAATTATAGACTAGGCTATGATTAAATTATACGTTGAAGCATTATTTAGGACAAATACAAACGATCCTTAGCAGAGACAGAAAATGTTCGCAATCGTGGGATTAAGCAAACTGAAGAAGCAAAAATATTTGCAATTCAAGGCTTTTGCAAGGACTTGTTGGAGGTACTCAGACTTTCAAGGTTGTCGCTTCCTTAAGTTCCAGTGGAGTGCTGGGTTATAAGGGAAAGCCTCTTCACCCGGCAGGAATACAACCTGCACCTTTTAGTTCCATGGTTCGATTCCTGCTGGGCGTAGAGTTTTGCCCATGACCTAACATTTTTGTGATTTCGCAACGCGAACTGCAAATAAGAAACCGAACAAGCTATAATTGATGCTTACTGCTTCTTTTTTATAGGTTGCCGACATCCTTGATTTGGCTGTAGAATCTGTTAAACCAGAGCAACTTGAGTCTGCCGATAAAACTCTTCGTCGATCTTCATAAAGGCATAGTGATGACTAAAACAGTGTTGCTAAAAACGTTCAAGAGGCACGGACTTGTTCAAGTTAATCCTATGGGTGAAAAGTTCGATCCCAATTTGCATGAGGCAGTGTTCCAAGTTCCTGCAGGAGAGGTAAGCTCTCAATCGATGTTATACATATGAAGCTGCCTATACACAACTTTTTAAATCAATGTAAAGGTGTTTAGGATACGAAGGTCGGGCCTGGGCATGTAATGCACGTTTCAAAGGTCGGGTATTCTTTGAAAGATCGGCCCATTCGAGCTGCACAGGTCGGTGTCGTTGCGGACAGCTGAAAACTCGTTATACTGTGATGTTTCATATCTTTCGCTGTTATTTTTGATGCTGATTTATGTCAGCGCTTGAATATTTCTGTAAAGCAGAATCGTTGAGATTACATGCTGTAAAAATCAAATGCTCAAGAGTTTTGGAAAATGCCCGACGTGACGCACTGGTGCATCCAAAGTGGTGAAATGTTTAATTTAATCATTAGTTGCTGGAGTAGAATCAGATATTTTTTTACAACTCAAAAGGTGAGCTAGGAATGGTCTCATTAATCCGCTAGGACATTTTGAACTTTAGTTATTTTATGTTTCTCTGTTTTTTTTTCAATCTCAGAAGTATATGTGTTATTATTAGGCTGATAGTCTTTGTTGTTTTGTTGTTGTTTCCCTTTTCGAATGAATTTCGTACTTTTTTCCATCTGTGCTCGTAACGCCGTTCTGTTCGGTTCTGTGTTTGTCCTATATCATATTTTAGAGCATTTGTAGCGTACCATTTTCATTAAGATCGGAATCAATTTGCAGTACTCAGCTCACGTTTACCCGTTGATTGGCGTAAACCCAAAATGCATGATGTTGAAATGAACTCGACTTTTACTGTAATGCCATCCGACTCCGACGTTCCAGAGGAAATCAGAGAAGTCCTGAACGAGGACAAGCTGACTAGTCGAAGCGTGTGAGTTGATGAAGTATATTGTCTCTCAACATTTCTCGTGTTTTTAATGACTGAACGCTGTTTTAAGCAAACGCTATGCTTGCGTAGATGAATGGATTTCAATAGCAAAAGAATGCAAATATTTGCCCGAAGAGGATATGATCTCACTTTGTAGTTGGTAAGGATGTTGATATCTTGTCAAAATTTGTCATTGTGCTCTTGATAGGGTATATTTCACGCGTTCATATTATTCCATTCTTTATACGCAGTTCGCTGTGCTGTTAATTGACAAACGCTTTTAAATCG